TTCTTTGTCTGCTGAAAGGTAGGGCTAAGTATTTTGTTTGAAGGTTAAGCGTGGAGCTTTAGAATTCATACTTTATGATACCCACGCTTTAGATTCATGTAACAAATTTGATTAGGAAACCGAAAGCTTTTGTCAGTAGATGAGTCAGTTGAGCATGAGAATGAGGTAAGTTTTTACAAAAGAATTTTTTCAATATTCATGAAATTTTTTCCGTAGTTTTTTTTTTCGATAGTCAAAAAATTTTTTGGTTATACTGTGTGTTCATGTTTCTAGTTTGCTCTAAAAGATGTTTTTTTTTACATTTTATGAATGTTTAATGACATTTTTAAATGTGTTAGATACGCAAAACACTATATTTAATTAACACTATTCATCGATCTTAAATGTTATACTTTTTTGAAATTACGCCATTTTGAAAAGTTACTTTATGTGATAAAAACAGGAAATTAAGTCGTCTGAGCCAAACCAAACCATCCACGTGGAATCAACTAATATCAGCTGTATCACACCGGCCATAGCACAGTTCCCCAACCCATTACTCAGCAAAAAGTAAGTCGGATATTATGATTGAATTAATTTGGAAACCCAGTTTATCCTGAACAGTGTATTTTTGTATATAAGGCAGCCTAACTTAACTTGGAATATTTAAACCAGTCAAATTTTAAACAAGTTTAATTTGAGGCAAATCGGTCTTGGGGTTTCTAAATTATGAACAAACAGACAGAGTACCTATGGATACATAGATGAAACCTCACTAATAACATTCTAAGTGGAACCCACGACTGTAAGACTTAAGCTATGACGTTAGAAAGCCCAAAGAAAGCCCAATGCACATGAAACAAAACAATTGTGCAGTGTAAACAGACCCATTAATACACATAAGGTTGCTGAAAAATCCATTGTTGTTAAAAAGTCCAACTGTACAATTTGTAACAAAACATCCATAAAAAAATATTTGATTTTTTTTCTTAAAATTGCAAATTATATTGGTCTTGAAATTGGTAATTTTTCCCTGCTCTGAGTTGTCCTTAAAGCTTATGTAAAATCAGAAAGATTAAGAAGGCTTTTTGGTTCCAAAATAAATACTTGAAAAAGTAGGTAAAGAAAGCAAAATTGAAGAGAGAGAGTAACATTTCTAAAGTATTTGTTTTATAAGTGTATTTGGAGCCGCCTTGACAAAATTCAATATTAACAAATGGAAACCCTTTTGCTGATTGTTTTTTTTCCAAAAAAAATATTGTTATTCATGTGTTTGAATGGTGAAAACTTAAAATGCTTAAGGGCTCGGCAACATGGTGGAGTTATATTCCATATACTTCTAGCAACCTACATGTTCCTAGGTAAACATTTTTCATCTTTTCAAATTGTTTTCAAATATTTACTTGCCCGTAAAATTGAAAAAAATATGAATTAAAAAAAAAATTTATTTGTTTAGCCTGTGTTACCATGGGTTCCCTCACATAGCTCATAAATGTTCAGCTATTTTGGTAGAGTCGCTAAACAAATATGTGGATATGTGCGAAGAGCTTTCTTATTTAAATTATGTATTTTGTATTTACATGAAATAATTTTAAAACATATTCTTCAAAGTGTAAATAATTATATTTATCTGTAAACATATTCTTAAATGAACTTCAAGTGTAATTTTTAGTAACCCTCCCTGCATGCAAAGATGTCAATGTCTGATTTACAATGGTACCCTTCAAAGCTTTGTCTGATCAAGTATGCATTAGATATAATTATAATAATTATTTTCCAATGGTTTTTTTTACTAAAGTCGCTAGTGCATTTCTACGGCAGAAAAACATTTTTGAATAATCAGAATTAAGTACTTTTAAGCCTTAAATATCTTCATTATTATTGTTGAGTATAAAGTGGAAAGGGTATCGTTGTGAATCGAGAAATTACAATTTTAGCAAGGAGTTTCACTTTACCTTTTTATAACACTGTTACTTTGGTTCGCAATGTTATAAATATTGGACAGAAATTTTCTATTTATCGAGAAGGTCAAGCCTTTTTATATTTAATTTTGTCTCGAGCTTTAGCGAGGAATAAAATATAATCTAAAAACCTTTGAAATATAGAGAAAATTTGAGTCCAAAAACTTTAAAGCACGTTGTGCCAAAAATAATAGTGTTATAGGTAATTTTATGAAACGTTTGTGTGCTTATCTTATTTCAATGGCTCTTTTAAATCGAATAAGCGTCGAAAGCAGAGGGTAAAAGATTTGATTTCAATTTTATTTTCATTTTAATTAAAAAATAATATTTTGGAAATATCCTAAATTTTTGAAAACAAATCCGGGAACCAATTAAACTAAATTTACAGCTAATTTAACTGTAGAGCACGATGATTACTTTATAGCACGTTCATTATGAAATTCACGTTGAAGTGAGTAAGAATGATAAAGTACACAACAGTCTCTTCAACTTCACTTTTGTGAAATATGAAACTGAGAAGATAAAAATAATAAATTGAAATAAAGAAAGTTCGGTAATATTTAAGAATATAATCTATATTTCATCATTTCAGCTCCTTTCAGTGCAAAATATAATTCTGAAAGAATATCTTAGTTTGATTAAGTAGCAAATTTTTAACACTAATTTAGAGTCGCTATTGCTTCAAAAATTAGCATGAAAAAATTGATTGTTTGACATAAAACTTTACAATTTTCTAGGCAATTTTAAAATTCTATGTTGTCAATATTTAAAACTAAATACTATTATCCTGAACTGTATAAACTGAAATCAAAATACTAATTTCATTTATTTATAAAAATTATTATTTCAGGGCTGGCTATTGTCTGCGATGAATTCTTTGTACCCTCGTTAACCAGGTTTTCTGATGGTAAGAACCCTTTATGTTCTTTATGTTACTTAGGTGATGTGCTACCACCTTAAACCCTTGAGCTCGTTACCTGATCAATAATGTGGATGATATCGTCGTTTTCTAAGGATCAAAGTACGTGTTTAATTTACAAATTCCTTTATGTTTTCCTGCAGTAGAATTGCGAAATGGTCACTTTTGCAAAGAAACCACAATTTAAAATAATGAGTTTTTAAAATTTTAAACACAACTTGATAGCTAAGTTATATTTAATCAAAGAAAGCTTTTAAAGGAAGTGTTCGCGAAAATGAAAGGGGGTATAGGGTTACGGCAAAAAACCCTACCCTGTTGTGTCTATAAGGAGAAAAATGTTAAAAATAACTCATACCGAAGAACTTGGCATACATACAAATTCAGAAATTTGCAACATTCAACTTGGATCGTAAAAATATCATTTTAATTCCAAACAAATCAAGCGATAATCATCAATAATTATTCGACGTATTCGTATATAGTTAATATTTCATAATATCTTTCATTTTTCATGATCTGATAGTTACTTTTGAAAAGATTTATTAATAATTATTATTTAAATGAAATGTATTTGAACTTCTAACCGCAGCGCGAGACTTCAGAAAACTGACTGTGAGGAAAAGAAAAGAAAAGTTATTGAAAAAAAATTGAACATAAAATGTGGAACTTTTGTAAAATTGGACGTTTTGTTGCATTGGACGTTTTGTTGCATTGGACGTTTTGTTGTATTGGACGTTTTGTTGTATTGGTCGTTATGTTTTGGCCGTTTTGTAACATTGGGTGTTTTGATTTTGGGCGTTTTGTACCCATTCCTTAGGGGGGGGGGGTGTAAGCTAAATTGAGTTTATTCAATAAACATCTTATTTAAGTCAAACAAGAATTTTTAAGAGAGAAATCTCTTAGTTGTTTAAATGTTTTGTTTTAGTTAAGATTTTCGCCCAAAAACCCGCTCTTTCATTGAAAACTCTTATAATAGGATTTTTAAACACTCTGACTAAATCAAGGTTTTGGCGAGCTGCTGGCGCCCTTATATTTCGGGTTTACAGGATCCATTCAGGGATAAATATTTGAACGGGAAAAGAAATTGCAAATTGAACTCATTATTATCTTATAAAGATTTATTCACACACAAAGATATAAATATCAATATTAATGGTGTAGTTTAAATCTGTTTAAATAACTTTTGGAATATATAGCTTTACAAAAGAAAAAAGAAAAAATATGAAAAATTATGCACAAATAGGCGACATTATAAATCAATGCTTTGACACAATGTTTGTAAATGAAAAGATTATCAGAGTAAATTCATTTTGTCCATTTTCACCAAAAAAGACAAGACAAATGCATTTTAAGAGGAGTAAAGAGGGTTAAAGTTGAAAAGTTTTTGTGTTGAACAAGAAAATAATAATCTTTAATATTAACCATCATTCATCTATTTTCAAGATTATACTTAGAAATTTTGTCTAGTTTAAGCAATCCAAATTTGATCTGAATGAATGCATGTTAAATTAAAAATGTTGGTAAATACTAACTTTTGCATTAAATGAGAATATGTATGACGTCATTAGTACAAAACATTAAGTATTATTTGCACACAGAGCATTCACAGATATCTCAGAACATAGAGTATTCTTTTTTACAGAAAAAACACAGATATCTCAGAACACAGAGTATTATTTTTTACGAATAAAACACAGATATCTCATTTCATCAAGTATTATTTGCATATAGAGTAAACAAAGATATCTCAGGTCATAGAGGATTATTTGCATACAGAGTAAATACAGATATCTCATGTCATCAAGTATTATTTGCATACAGAGTAAACACAGATATCTCAGGTCTTTGAGTATACATTTTTATTCAGAGTAAACACAGATATCTCAGGTCTTGAATTATCATTTGTATACAGAGTAAACACAGATATTTCAGTTCTTGAATTATCATTTGTATACATAGTAAACACAGATATCTCAGTTCTTGAATTATCATTTGTATACAGAGTAAACACAGATATCTCAGGTCTTTGAGTATACATTTGTATACAGAGTAAACACAGATAGCTGAGGTCTTTGAGTATACATTTGTATACAGAGTGACCACAGATATCTCAGGTCTTTGAGTATACATTTGTATTCAGAGTAAACACAGATAGCTCAGGTCTTTAAGTATACATTTGTATGCAGAGTAAACACAGATAGCTCAGGTCTTTGAGTATACATTTGTATGCAGAGTAAACACAGATATCTCAGGTCTTTGATTATACATTTGTATACAGAGTAAACACAAATACTTCAGGTCTTTGAGTATACATTTGTATACAGAGTAAACACAGATATCTCAGGTCTTTGAGCATACATTTGTATACAGAGTAAACACAGATATCTCAGGTCTTTGAGTATACATTTGTATACAGAGTAAACACGGATAGCTTAGGTCTTGGCTCGTATATTTATATATTCATATGTTAGCAACAGCTGGCCAAACGGCTGTACCAAATTAGCTGATATTTTTTAAGAGAGGTCATAATTACTTTGCGGTAACATAGCTAGACTTAAAAACATTTTGAAATATTTCTTTTTGAGAGTCGATTTAAAAAAAATATGTTTTGCACGGGCATTGCCACGGGCACTTCAGTTAGTGAAAACTATATTTAAAGGTTGAGATTGACGTGAATAAAGTTTATGCAAAGTCTTACCAGGGAAAAAGAATAAAGGGAAGCGAAATGAAGCTGGTCTGGCAAGAGAAAGCCAGCCGCACTGCTGTGCAGACGAGTTCTTTATCACACACGCACACTCCTTTGGTACAGACACACAACATGAATACAGTCAAGGAAATTGCAGAAAAATGTCGTCAATTATAATTAAGCTTGAATAACGAGTAGTTTATTGTAAACTTTAATCAAATTATATTCTTTGCATGAAAATTTGGCTTTTAGTGTTGACTTAAAAATGTATAGATAATACATTACCTGTATATTAAACTTATTTATAAGTAAACAATTAACAAGAAACAACTGTACTCTCCTAGACTGTACAATTACCGAGATTCTTATGTACTGTATATACCTATATAAAGTACACACCTTTGGTTCGGTATTACCATAAAGAATAGAATATATAGAGAGGAATTAAAAGAATTTCTCGGTATGAATTTTTTCAGTCCCTTTCAGCCTGAAAGGGAGTTCAAAGTGTACAAATCATGTAAATGTTCAAAAATTATATGCAGTAGAGTACATTAATACAGTATGTTCCCTAGATTATCCATTTCAATTTCGAATTATAAATTCCTCTCTATATATTCTATTCTCTATGGGTATTACTTACACACACTCTTTTGGTACAGACACACATATATGACGTTTTCGCCCTCTAGTCTTTACGGGAATTTAATCATAATTAACTGCGTGCGACAAAATAAATCTTCTAGAAAATGAGTTTCCTCAACTTAAATGAATGTTTTAAGGGTAGCGTGGAGTACTTTTCAACTTGAGAAAATATAGAGGACAATATCAATAGAATACAAATTTGCAACAATTTGTTTGACATTTGCATGTTTAATTTAATTATAAAATATAAATTTCACGGTTAAAAACCAGGTTTCAAATGTTACGATAATGATTAGAGCTGAGTTTAAAGCACAAAAACAACCCCCCCCCCTCGACTCTGCCTACATGCATTGTAAACATAAATATTAGCCTCCCCCCTACTCTTCATATTTAATTCTACCCCGCTACATCAGAGATGCAACCCCCCCCTCATCTAAAAAAATTGAAACTATCTGCATGATCTGAATTCCTACTGGAAATATTAACTTCATCATATCTTTAGATTTCTCCTAAATATTTCGATTAAAATAAATGAAAATGATAAGATTTATGTTCTAGAAAACTTGAAAAAAAAACTTCCTTTGAACATGTATAAATTCTAATAAAAAAATACATTTAAATGACGATTTTTTCAGCCCTTGGCCTTTCTCCGGATGTGGCCGGAGCCACATTCATGGCAGCCGGATCTTCAGCTCCTGAGCTTGCTACTTCGGTTATTGGAGTTTTTGTCGCGCAGGTGAGACGACACGGCTTCCAGTGTGGAAGTTTTGTAGCAAATGTGTGCTACTTTTGTAATTGAAGTTTTGTAGCAGGTATAACAACGCTACTTCTGTAATTGAAGTTTTGAAGCACAGGTATAACAGTGCTACTTATGTAATTAAAGTTTTGTTGTACTCATATAACAACGCTACTTCTATTATTGAAGTTTTGTAGCACTGGTATAACAATTCTACTTCTGTTATTTAAGTTTGTAACAAAGGCATAACAGTGCTACTTCTGTAAATGAAGTTTTGTAGCACTGTTATACTAATGCTACTTCTGTTATTAAAGTATTGTCGCACTGTTTTAACAACACTACTTCTGCTATTGAAGTTTTGTAGCACTAGTAGCAAAGCTTTCAAATTAAGAATATTTTAGTGTGAGATGTACTTTAAGATATGTCTAGCTGGTGTAGAAAAAATAAAACAAGATTTTTAGCTGCATCCTTTATTTAAGTATCTTTGGGTCACCTTTGCGTAAAAATACTACATATAAAATTGTCTATCCTAGGGGGGGGGGGGGAAATTATGTCAGAAAGAGAAGTTCCAGGGGTAAATTCGTTTTTCTCTAACATTGTGACCATCAGTAATTCCTAGGATTTTCATTTCTCGGAAACTTTTCTGAAGATCTTTATTAATCCTATTATTACTTTTTTGTCAATACTAGTCTTCTTCTATCTATCTATACATCTATCTACACATATATAATATATACATATATATATATTTGGGGTGTTTTCAACAATTTTTGAAAATGTGTAATTTTGTTTGGTACTTCAATGGCCCAAAAAAAAACCACGAACCTTTTTTTCTGTCAAATTCAAAAGTTCAGAAAAACAAAAATATGTAAAAAAAATTGTTTCTTTCGAAGTTTTTTTGGAAAAATTGTTTTCAATATGGTTTTTAAGGTTTCAACTGAACAGCGTTTATTAATTACTTTATACTAAGATGAAAAGAACTAGAGAATTTTAATAACTTTTCCTTAAAAATTAGACCAGTACTAAAAATTGCGAATTTTCTTATTTTATTTTTGCGAATTTTCTGTGATTCTTAGAATCAATATTTAAAAAATTTTAGACTTCGATAGAAATAATTTATATACACATTTTTCTTTTCTGAAATTTTGATTTTGAGAGAAAAAAAGGTTCGCGGATTTTCTTTTGAGCCATTGGAGTACCAAAAAAAATAAAAATTTTCAAAAATATTGAAAAAACACCATAAAGGAGAGTTCAAAAAGGTACAAGTTTGCACCAGGCGCCGCAAATCACACTTTTTTTTGACTCACCCTGTGTATCATTAAAATGGAAACAAATGGATCAAATGGATAGAAACACATGAACTAAAATCGACACAAATTGGATGACATAGGATGAAATTGGATGAAATTGGATGAAATTGGATGAAATTGGATGAAATTGGATGAAATTGGATGAAATTGGATGAAATTGGATGAAATTGGATGCAATTGGATGAAATTGGGTGAAATTGGATGCAATTGGATGAAAATGCAAAACAATGTGAAAACATAGATGAAATGTAGAAAAACTGAACCCTGAGAAGATGTATTTTGCTTCTAGGAAAACAATTTCTGTCAACTTGACAAGGTTTTCAACAAAATCTTTGATTTGATTTCTATCTAAAATATTTTTTTATTCCACAGACGCCAGGCACTTCAGCTAGTGCTTGATAAAAGAGTAGCCAGCAAGGTTTTTTTTTAAAATGAAATTTGTCTTCTAAGTGTCCTTAAGCTTTTGGAACAAATCACAAACTTTTGAACGTATGCTGGATCAAAAAGTCAAGTATAAAAATGTTTTTGATCTGGATAAAGTATGGAACTTAAAGAAAAAGACTTTACTTTACCTAATTTTAAGGACGACATTGGTGTGAGTGGAGTAGTGGGATCAGCTGTGTTCAACATCACACTTGTTATTGCAGTCTGTGCTATTGCAGCTCCCCGGCCATTCACGCTCAACTGGTACTCAGTCTGCAGGTACAGTTCAACATTATGCTTGTTATAGCAGTCTGTGCGCTTGCTGCTCCCCGGCCCTTCACTCTCAACTGGTACTCAGTCTGCAGGTACATGGTTCAACATTATGCTTGTCAAAGCGTGGTCTATGCCCTTGCAGGTCCCCGGCCTTTCACGCTCAACTAGTACTCAGTCTGCAGGTACATGGTTTAACATTATGCTTATTAAAGCGGGATCTACGCCCTTGCAGCTCCCCGACCCTTTACTCTCAACAGCTGTACTCAGTCTGTAGGTACATAAAATACAGTGCAGTACATTTGGAGTACGGGAACGACCTCTTCGTGGAAAATCAATCCTATTCTGACTGGGATATTTTGTCTGACATTGGTTGGACTTGCAAGAAGATGGAATCAACCCACAACTTTTTTTAAGATTTTGCATTATGCAAATTTGCAAATTTTATTTTGACACTGACCGGTCCTTTAAACGTCATCTACTCTATAACAATTCAACATATTTTTTTTTCAAGCAAAATTGTTTTCAATGCTTCGGAGAAATAAAATCACAGGGGGAAGATATTGGGGGTTTCAAACCAAATATTAATGCATTAATTTAATTTAAGAATTAATGATCTGTTTTTATTTGCGACAATAACATCATTCATCAAATTTAGAAAAAAAAATTTTTATCGATTTTGATGGTTATTATATCGTTAGAACTGACGAGGATCAACCCAGACCGCAATATATTTTTAATAAATGTGGAACTAACATCTACTCTCTTTTACTCTACAGAGGTTTGGTCCATCACCATCACCTAATTTTAAATCATGAATGATGCTGTCACCATTAAAATGAAATATTTTATAATCTAATTTGTTTGTTTTTTAAAGGGACTGTTTCTGTTATCTGATCTGTATCATTGTTCTCATCATTGCCATCGCCAACGGAGAAGTTTCATGGTATGTTTTTATTTTGTAATAATTCTAATCATATGTAAATTTATATTTTTTGTTTGTTTTAAAACTTGTAAATTTAAAAATAAATTTTTTTTATTAAATAATATTGATTTTTCTGAATAAATTGTAAATAAGGAACACTCATCGTTCATCAGCTCATTTAAATTTCATTTTGTGAAATTACTAACAGCAATGGATACTCATAAACATAGAAAACCTTTACTTTGCACGGGCAGCCGTAGTACATTTGAATTTCCGATCCGGGTCAACCTTTCTGGTCCCATTTTGTACTGCAACGCACAGACATTGGGTTAATGAAGAAGACTCGACAATCAACAGGTGCAAAAAGGTTGACGCGGTCAGACTTTATGCTTCATACAGGTTGAATTTATTTTTACAAAATGGGCAGAGGTGCGTGTTTGATTACTTGTAAACTTGAAATTCAAACCAAGTTTGTTAGCCATCAAACTTTCTGCAATGACTAAGGCTTAAATGATTATCCTCTTTAAATGGACCAATTAACATTACTTCAACACTAACCTTATAAAGGCCGGAGTGTCTAAATTTTTCATAGCGATAGTGTCAAAAATAAGAGTGTTAAAGCAAAAAAAAGAGGGGGGACTCAAACGCCTCCCCCCCCCCACTATCTGACTATGGTAAAATTCCAAATGTTTAGGTATGAGTCAACCTTCTTCCTAGTCCTCTACGTGGTTTACTGTATTGCAATGGCGTTCAACTCAAGGTAGGATTTTACCCAGGGAATAAGAATATAAAGGGAAATGGCGATGGTCTGGCATGAGAAAGCCAGTCGGACTGCTTTGCAGACGAGTTAGGTAACACACACTCTTTTTGTACAGACACACAACATGACTACAGTCAAGGAAATTGCAGAACAATGTCGTCAATTATAATTAAGCTTGAATAACAAGTAGTTTATTATAAAATTTAATCAAATTATATTCTTTGCATGCAAATTTGGCTCATAGTGTTGGCTTAAATATAAATAATATACTACATGTATATTAAACTTATTTTTAAGTAAACAATTAACAATAAACAAATGTACTCTCCTAGACTGTACAAATACCGAGATTCTTATGTACTGTATATACCTACAGTACACACCTTCAGTTCGGTATTACTTACACACACTCTTTTGGTACAGACACATATTGATGACGTTTCCGCCCCCTGATTTTACCATTTAATAATGACTATTAGTTAAATAGTTTTGGGTGTTAAATGTTTTAACCGTGATACTACAAAATTATATTTACAAAATAATCCTGCTTGAAACCAGACGATATAGAAGTCATTATTCCCGTGTTTGGGACACCCTGAACTTTTTTTCAAAAAGTTGAATATTTCTTTTCAGGTTTGAAAGTTGGGCGACTAGAAGTTTACCTATCCCTGAATCCTGGCGGACTGCTTCAACAACAAAAGGTAATTGTGTTGTCTGAAAGGGACTGTCCTTGGATATCAACGTGGCAAAATTAAATCAAATACCTAGGGCTGGGCAAAGTTTTCGAAAATTGTATTCGTTAACGAACGGCAAAAACCTTTAATTTTTAGAATGTTAACGAAACGGTTTAACCGTTTTTGAAAAAAGTTCACTGCTAAAAACGAAAATGGAACAGTTTTTTTAAAACGGTGAATTTCGTAATTTTTTTTTCAACCTAAAATTGCATTTAGCTCGTAAAAAATTTTTTTTTATGTCTTTTGAAGGGTTTAAATGTCGTCTTCTGTTTTCAAAATCTGGGTTCTCCTCAAAATAAGATAAATATATAGTTGATTTGGATATCAGTCCGCAGTGAAGAATAAATATAGTTAAACTGCTAGTGCCGTTAATACTGTAGCGCTGTTAACAATTTCTTAACTTTTAGCGGTTTAAATGTTAATGACTGGCGTCATTTATAACGGTTGTTGAAAATTGTTCTTTTAAAGCTGTTAATAAAATTTAAAATGTTAACTAACCGTAATAAAAAAGACAGTGAATGCTGTTTACGAATGAACGGCTACTTGAAATTTCACTATTTTAGTTGTTGAAACTAACCGTTAACTGAAAGGCTAGAAAAAGTTTGAAAATGCCCAGCCCTAGCCATACCAAATGTCCCCTTTAGCTTCTATTTAATGCGATCCATGGCCGATTTACAATGGTAGCCTTTAAACTTTCATCAGATTAGTGATGTTGAAGAAATCGTAGTTATATTATGACAATTACATTCAAATCATTATATAGAGAAACTACAATTAAAAATGCATTTATGATTAGCCAAAGCTTTTTGAATCAACTGCATCTTTAAATCACTTTAAGGTTTATTTGATTTCAAATATAAACAAATTTTTTTAAGTGCAACAACGGAAAACATTCTTAAAACATCCCATGTGTTGGGGTAATTTGGAAATTAGTTATAAAGATAAAGGAATGTACGCAGAGAAATCATGTGAAACAAGTACAGATAATTGTAGTTATCTAATCATCTAATGTGTTGGACAAAAATGACTCTAATCAAATCATTTACTTGGTTGATTAATGTCCGAAAAAAAGCTAAGAATCTTATGTTAGAAACCATTATGCCTAATATGTACACAGAGATACCTTGTTTTCATTTCGTTCGTTGATCGTTTGTAAATGACCCATTTAGTTCATTTTTGTTACAATCGTTTTTAAAAGAAAATATTTCGTTCTATAGTCCAGTTTCTATCTATTTTGCTCATTTTCTAACTAAACGATCGTTTAATAAAATCGTTCGTTCTAAAAACAAGACAGTTTTTTTCAAAAACTTGTTTGAAAAATCTTTCCTTAAGTAAAAAACTACCGCTTTTTTGAAAATTTAATCCAAAAAATTGTTTGTTCCTGGAAAATAATGAACAAATTTTCAAAATCGTTGGAAAATTCATTCATTTAGTAAAAATAAGAATCGTTTTTTTTTTTAATTCGTTTAATGATTTTAAATCCGTATTTTTAAACTATCATTTTTATTTCTCTGAACGATCCATTTCTTTCATCCATAATTTTTTTTTCTAAACAAAAAAAAATGTTGTTCGTTCAAAAAAAAAATCTATGTTCATCTCTATATGTACTGTACTGTTAATATTTTATGTACAGCTGGAGAGTTTGAGAAATGGAATGAAGAAAAAGCTGCAGAAAGCAAGACAAATGGTATAAAATGTCTTTAAATTTGTTTATTCCTTGCCAATTTAAACTTGTTGTTTTGATTGCGATTATTAAACATTATTAAACATAAAAAAAAGAGTGACAAAAATATATCAGCAAGGTTTTAATTTGATGTAATAACTTTGAAATTTTTTTTTTCTAATTTTTTTTCTGTATAAAGTTAGAGTAAATATTTGAGATTTGCTAAATCAACAGAAGTTGTTTATTTTACTCAAAACCCGTCTGCGTTTTGTTCTAACTGTTTTAAAACCAAACCATAAAATATCCAATAAGAACCTAAACAATATTGCTGTTAGGTGTTTGCCATAAAGGCATTTTCCAAGGCGACTTTCCAAGTGACAGTTTACCGAGCGGTAACTTCCCAAAGGTTAGGTTAGGTCTTCTGAGGTGTCGCAGTCTACAATGGGGGCCAAGTACTGCGGCTAGGGTGGGTTATGGAGTCGAGTGCTGCGGCTAGAACAGGCTAGAGGTCCGAGCACTGCGGCTAGGACAGACTTGGGAAGTTCACGCTTGGGAAATTGCACAGTTAGAACCAGTTGTCAATTTGGAGAGTTGTTGCTTGGGGAAAAGCCTTTGGGAAATATCAAAATATCAAAATATGAAACCAACCAAAAAAATGACATTTCGTTCAAAGTTACGAACAGAATGATTGTTGATTTTAAAAACTGTGAAAAATCACGATCATTCTGAACATAATTTAGGAAAGAAGGAGTTAAGCCTTAGTTACAAACTCTAATTTTATAATTCCTATTTATTTGTAGCCTGACAGTGTAAAACTTTAATATTAAACATTTTTATGGCTAAGCTTGATGATCAAATTGTGAAACTTGCAAATACATACAAAATAACTGATGAGTGCCCCCTGAAGACCTGGAAAAGATTTCTGGATGATTGTTTTGGAATCTGGACAGATTCTATTGATAAATTATATCAATTCCTGGATGATGTCAATAAAATTCATCCTACAATCAAGTTTATTCTAGAACATAGTTCTCCATTTTATTGTGGTTTAAAGGATGACCATGACTGTTGGTGCCACAGAACAAAAAGTATTCCATTTCTTGACACAAAACTGTACATTGAAGATGGAAAAATCACAACAGATCTCTACAGAAAACCCACAGATAGATGTATGTACCTACTTCCATCATCTTGCCACCCAGCACATATTTCTAACAACATACCTTATTCACTTGCATACAGAATTGTACGAATTTGCAGCAAACCAGAACTTAGGGATGCCCAATTCTTAAAACTAAGGGATTTTCTTCTCAGCAGGGATTACAATCCTTCAATTGTTGACTCTGCTATAGTCCGAGCTAAAGCTATACCTAGAGAAGTTGCTTTAAAGAAAGTGGAGAAAAAGGAGAAACCAGATCGAGTTATATTCTCTATCTCATTTAATCCCCAGCTGCCTTGTATCTCCTCCATCATACAGAAACATTGGAGAACCATGGTCCAGGATCCTTGGATGAAGGAGGTTTTTCAAAATCCACCTATGGTTACCTATAGGAGACCTCCTAATCTCAGGGATAAACTCATCCGAGCCAGAATTCCAGATCCTCCTAGAATGAGGCCAAAAAGGCTAATACCTGGTATGAAACCTTGTGGTTTAAATTGCCCAACTTGTCCCTACATAGAGCCTGGAACAGTTATACAATCCTCTAATACCAGCAAGAAGATTGAGATGAATGGAACTTTCAACTGTAAGACCAGAAATGTAGTTTACTGTATTACATGTGAACACTGTAAACTACAATATATAGGACAGACAACAAGATCTTTAGATGAAAGAGTGAGAGAACATATCGGTTACATTAGAAATCTCCATACAAACCAGCCTACAGGAGAACATTTTAACCTTCCTGGACATGAACTCTACCATCTAAAAGTTAGTGTTCTAGAGAAGGTTTGGGACCACGGAAGAAGTTTACTTGAAGTAAGAGAATCTAAATACATCAGAGATTTTATGACTGAACTCAGAGGAATGAACAGAAAAAAATAGTTTTATTTAATTGTTAACTGTAATTCAGTATTTTTTTAAAAAAGAGTTTTTTATGTCCAATTCTTTAAAAGGTTTTAAATACCCCTCCTTAAACAAGCCGTTCCCCCCCTCCCCCTCCCCCGACTCACGGAAAAGTTCGTTAATTAGATCGACCCCCACCCCAACTCAATATTCACACATCTACACAGTTTGTTTTTAATCTTTGTGAAGAAACAATCTCAAGGAATAATAATTGTCTAAAAACTTTTTTTTAGAAAGTGAATATTTGCAAATTATCTTTTTTCCATCTCATAATCTGAGTTCTTTTCCCTTATGTCCATTTGACAGCCCAAATTTTTATTTTGAATAATCTTTTTGTTTGTTTATATTCTTGTGATTTTTACATTTTTAAATTTTTTTTTATCGATTTTGATGGTTATTATATCGTTAGAACTGACGAGGGTCAACCCAGACCGAAATATATTTTCAATAAATGTGGGACTAACATCTACTTTTTTACTCTACAGAGGTTTGGTCCATCACCATCACTGAATTTTAAAAATAAACTTAGAGTATTTGATCTATCAGAAATGATATTTTAAAATATCAAAGGTCTATTTCATTTGGTTACAAAGGTGGATAAGAAAATCAGAGTTTGTTGCAAAGATTCAATTTCTTTTAAATTTTTAAATACTTTTGGTTGGTTCGTTGTTACAGAATAAATAACAGTTAAAAAAATAATGATAACATTTTAAAACTTTAGCAGTTTTAAATTTTAAATCTCAGATTTTTGTTGCTTAAGTACCGAGTTTTAAAAAATCTATAGAATATGTTTCATAGAATTTCAATTATATATTAATTTTTTTCCTCTGAATAATATTTTTCAAGTTTCTTGGATTAAATTCTATTTAAAGATGGTTAGAATAAATTTTTGCAGAGGCTGCTTGAAAGTGCCCAATCGAGTTTGCAAATTCTTGTTTAGTAATATAGAATTTGAAATCTAATTCAGTTCTGGAAAGGTTTTATAGTGTTTAGATGTGAAAATAAGAAAAAGAATAAATGAACTATGATCCCCTTGTTATTGGGAAAAAAGTAAAAATTTTAAAAAGAAATATCCAATCTGAAAAAACATCATTATCAAGGGTTTCAAATTGTTTTAACCTTATCCAGATTCCAGCCACTAAAGTCTTCACTTTTTATAAGACACTCTCTGTTTTCCCATAGTGACACTGACCCATAGGATGGCTCTGTTCTCAGGCAGTTGGTAATAAAGCCTAACCTTCAACATGAAGTGAGGGGCTTGTGTCCGTTGGAAAAGTATAAAATAAAAACAGCAGAATCTTTTTTTTCAGGAAATGGTCAAGAAATGGAGATGAAAATGAATCCGGACGGAACAACAGAGGTGTATGAATAAATTTTTAAATTGATATAAAAATAAATATTATAAATTTATGTATATATAAATAAATATTATCTGAAATTTGTTAATGATCCTGAAACTTATAAATTGTTTGCAAGAAAAAAATGAAAAATTTAATAAAAATAGTTCCAACAAAAAAATAGTTGTAAAAATTGATCAAAAACAAATTCTAAGAATACACAAGATTTAAAAAAAAGAAAAACATGATATTAATTTTAAAAAAACAGAAATGTTAAGATTGCCAGTTAATTAAAATATATACAAAACATGTCATTATCCCCCAAAATAATGTTTATCTGGATCAAACTGACCTCTAATAAAGATAATAAGCCCATAAGAATGTGTGTTTAGATCAAACTGACCCCTAATGAAGATAATAAGCCACTAAGAATATCTGTCTAGATCAAAATGACCCCTAATGAGGAGAAAACGCACCTAAGAATGTTTGTAAATATCGAACTGACCCCTAATAAAGATAATAAGCCCCTAAGACTGACTGTTTAGATAAAACTGACCCCTAATAAAGATAATAAGCCAATAAGCATGCCTGTTTAGGTAAAACTGACCCCTAATAAAGATGATAAGCCTCTAAGAGTAACTGTTTAGATAAAACTGACCCCTAATAAAGATTATAAGCCACTAAGAATGTCTGTTTGGATCAAACTGACCCCTATTAAAGATAATAAGCCACTAAGAATGTCTGTTTGGATCAAACTGACCCCTAATAAAGATAATAAGCCACTAAGAATGTCTGTTTGGATCAAACTGACCCCTATTAAAGATAATAAGCCACTAAGAATGTCTGTTTGGATCAAACTGACCCCTAATAAAGATAATAAGCCACTAAGAATGTCTGTTTGGATCAAACTGACCCCTAATAAAGATAATAAGCCACTAAGAATGTCTATTTGGATCAAACTGACCCCTAATAAAGATAGTAAGCCACTAAGAATGTCTGTTAAGATAAAACTGACCCATGAGGAGAATAAGCCCCTAAGAATGTCCGTTTAGATAAAACTGACCCCTAATGAGGAGAATAAGTCCCTAAAGAAGGAGGAAGGGGAGGCAGATCTACTTAAGAAACCTATGGCACTGGATGACGGAAAATGGGCAGTATTCTGCTGGTAAATATATCTTCTAAAAAATTGGATATTCAATTATCTTGAAGGTTCAAAAATTAAAAGATATAAATGTATCTGTAATCAGTGGTGTATTACAAATCTGTAAATCAATAGACTTTATACTAAAGTAGTTCTTTAAAGAAATTATGTCTTTGCCATAAACTCTGATTTTCTAATCACTATATCTTTGCAACTAAATAGAATAGATCTTAGATATTTCAAATAATAAATTGTTTTAGATAGAATAATCTAATTGCACCATCAAAGATATAAAGACTTAAAAATTTAATGTCTTGCAAAGACTATGGATAAACATATGGAAGACAAAAAACTATTAAATTCTAGTTTTTTCAATTTAATTTTCTTATGAAGATCTTTTTATTTCGTAAATTTAAATTGTTTCTAGGTATGTGAGCTTTCCCCTCAACCTTGTATCCGTGTACACCATCCCAGACTGTAGGAAGAGACAGTACAGCAGATGGTAGGTACATTGTACAAAGTGTACAGTACTGCATAGTGTAGCATACAGTACAGTACTGTGCAGTACAGTACAGAACAGTATAGTAGAGTGCAGTACAGTATAGAACAGTATAGTACAGTACAGATCAGTACATTACAGAACAGTACAGTACAATAAAGGTCAGTACATTACAGAACAGTACAGTATTGTGAAGTACAGTACAGTACAGAAAAGTACAATACAGTACAGAACAGTGCAGTACAGTACAGTACAGTGAAGTACAGTACAGTACAGTGCAGTACAGTATAAAAAAGTATAGTACAGTACAGATCAGTTCATTACAGAACAGTACTTTACATTACAGAACAGTACAGTACAGTGAAGTACAGGACAGAACAGTGCAGTACAGTACAGTACAGAACAGTACAGTACAGTACAGTGCAGTACAGTACAGAACAATATAGTACAGTACAGATCAGTACATTACAGAACAGTACAGTACAGTACAGTACAGTAAAGTACAGTACAGTACAGAACAGTACAGTACAGTACAGAACAGTATAGTACAGTACAGAACAGTACAGTACAGTACAGAACAGTACAGTACAGAACAGTACAGTACAGTACAGGTCAGTACATTACAGAACAGTACAGTACAGTACAGTACAGAACAGTATAGTACAGTACAGATCAGTACATTGCAGAACAGTATAGTACAATACAGATCAGTACATTACTGAACAGTACAGTACAGTACAGGTCAGTACATTAAAGAACAGTACACGTACAGTACAGTACAGAACAGTACAGTACAGTACAGTACAGAACAGTATAGTACTGTACAGATCAGTACAGTACAGAACAGTACAGTACAGTACCGAACAGTGCATTACAGTATAAAACAGTATAGTACAGTACAGATCAGTACATTACAGAACAGTACTTTACATTACAGAACAGTACAGTACAGTGAAGTACAGGACAGAACAGTGCAGTACAGTCCAGTACAGAACAGTACAGTACAGTACAGTGCAGTACAGTACAGAACAATATAGTACAGTACAGAGCAGTACATTACAGAACAGTACAGTACAGTACAGTACAGTACAGTACAGTACAGTACAGTACAGTACAGTACAGTACAGAACAGAATAGTACAGTACAGATCAGTACAGTACAGAACAGTACAGTACAGTACAGGTCAGTACATTACAGAACAGTACAGTACAGTACATTACAGAACAGTATAGTACAGTACAGATCAGTACATTACAGAACAGTATAGTACAGTACAGATCAGTACATTACAGAACAGTACAGTACAGTACAGGTCAGTACATTACAGAACAGTACAGTACAGTACAGTACAGAACAGTACAGTACAGTACAGAACAGTACAGTACAGTACAGTACAGATCAGTACATTACATAACAGTACAGTACAGTACACTACACTACAAATTAAATTTTAATAAAATGTAGAACAATAAGTTGAAAATAAATTTGTTCAGGTTTATCCTCTCTTTTTTTATCTCTGTGTTCTGGATCTGTCTATACTCCTACGTCATGGTTTGGATGATTACTATCATCGGTAGGAAAGGGGTAAATATTTGAAAGAACCCCCTCCCCCCCATACAGGGATATATTTTTGGAAATATCCCCCCCTTTCAAATATCAAACCCATATATTGTGAAATATTGACCTTCCCACAGAAAAAGTATATAATTGGAAGAATCCTCCCCACCCAGAAGACAGAAGTATATATTTGAACGAATAACACCTCACCCCTCTCTGATCCCAAATCGATTTTAAAAATACACCTTTTCCCTAATTCTAAAAGAAACTTTCATTAAATGCTGGGGTAATTTTAAAAAGAAGATCGAGAGAGGGGGGAGGAGAAATAAGCTCAGTATTAAAAAGGATTTAAAAGCTTTAAGCTCATTAAAGGAGAGTGTACCCTGAAAAGGGGTTTGTACCTCCCCCCCCTTTCCCGGCCCCATATTTAGCAGAAATCTTAGTGGTCAAATTTTTTTTAAAGAAAGTCTTTTTAAAGAAAGTAATTAAAATACGCTGCTCTGATAATTTTTTTTAAATTTTAATTTTTCCAGAAAGTTTGACATTTAAGACATTTTTTTTTTATTTACAGTAAAGAGGCCTGATACGTTACTTTAGGAATAATGAGGAAATTTTCAATTTTTTTTAAACCTTTAAGTAATTATGGCTCGTGAAGTTTAAAATTGTTTCACCTAAAATAGTTGAAAAATTAGAGATGATTTAAACGTTATTAACTGCTAAATTAGAAATTATTCAAACATTATTAACTGTTAAATTAGAGATAATTGGATTATTAGATGGATATTATCCTTATCTACAGGGTGTCCCAAAAAACATAGGAATTCAGTGACGAATAGTATATCGTCTTTGCTATGAATTAGCATTGTAATACCTAATTTCAAAAGCCATAATATTATTATGTCTGCTAGAGTTTATTATATGAAAAGGGTAAAAGACTGTAAAGATGTGTCTATAATGTCTCTGCAAGATGAACAGTGAAGACGGACAAGTTTTCTCTGTTTGTAAACTGCAATTTTCTTGTTTTACTAAGTACAACCGTATGCAGTCAAAACATAAACAAACAAAATGTAAACATAGCAGACAAAAATCTTACAGATTAAAGCTTTCTCAGTTGGTATCACTATACTAAATCAAAGAATTATTTAAAAAGACGATAACGAATTCGTCACTGAATTCCCATGTTTTTTGGGACACCCTGTATTTACGTTTAAAATTTTAATTTAAACTATCTACACAAAACTGAAAATTAAAACACATAATTATTCTAATAATTCCAAAGTGATAAAAAATTTGTGTTTTATTTGAAAAAAATATGTTTGAGGTTAAAGAAACGTACATTTCTATTTAAAAAAATATTAATTAAAAGTAACAAAGATTTTTTGTTTGATAATACATTTTTAAGGCTTTACGTTCGGTATCCCTGATACTGTGATGGGATTAACCTTCATAGCTGCTGGAGTCAGTGTACCTGATGCTCTATCGGGTGTAGCTGTAGTCAAAGAAGGGCATGGTAAGTATTCTAGTGTATTAGCAGTAGTCAAAGAAGGACAAGGTAAGTAGTCTTGTATTAGAAGTTGTCAAAGAAGGACATGGTAAGTAGTCTGATGTATTATTAGTAGTCAAAGAAGGACATGGTAAGTAGTCTGATGTAGAAGTAGTCAAGGAATTACATAGTAAGTAGTCTGATGTAGTAGTAGTCAAGGAAGTACATAGTAAGTAGTCTGATGCAGCAGTAGTCAAGGAAGGACATAGTAAGTAGTCTGATGTAGCAGTAGTCAAGGAAGTACATAGTAAGTAGTCTGATGTAGTATTAGTCAAGGAATTACATAGTAAGTAGTCTGATGGACCAGTAGTCAAGGAAGGTCATTGCTTAAGTAGTCTGATGTAGTAGTAGTCAAAGAAGTGCATTGATTAAGTAGTTTGATGGAGCAGTAGTCAAGGAAAGGCATTGATTAAGTAGTCTGATGGAGCAGCAGTCAAGGAAGTGCATTGCTTAAGTAGTCTGATGGAGCAGTAGTCAAGGAAGGGCATGGCTTAAGTAGTTTGGTGCAAAAGTTGTATATTTTTTTATTTGAACTTACACAAATAATTAAAAATTAAAAATCTACGAATTCATTATTTATTTTTTAATACAGTGTTTTAAAGAAAACACAAAAACTAAAAACTAAAATTTTAAGGTGATATGGCGGTGAGCAATGCTATTGGTAGTAATGTGTTTGATATCCTGGTTTGCCTTGGTATACCTTGGTTTATCAAAACTGTAATCATGGACCCAGGATCAACAGTGCCAGTAAGTAAACAACCAAACTTTTATTAATTCATTTCATCTTAACCCTATCACAATAGGGGGGGGGGGTCCACCCACCCCCCCTCTGTGGTTTCTACTGACTAACTTAAAAATGGCCTACATTAGAACAATAAAACTTCTTCACTTTTTCACCATTTAAGTTATAGATCTAATTTTTTTTTTAATGAGCAGGCCTTGACAAGTTTGACTAGGGACATGTATCACACGCCCCTTTCTCAACTCTAAAGGAAAAATCATGGGGGGGGGGGAACACTCCCCCCCCCACTATATTAGACAAAAATAGCCCAATCAGGATAGGGTTATATCCAGTGATAACCAGTGGATTATGACGACGACTTTAAATAGTCCAATGAACATGTGCAGTGTAAACAGAACCATTTGACTTGATAAAAGAGTTTATAACTTATTAGTAAAACTCATGCTTTGTAACAACATTAAATTCACTGGAGTACTGTTTTACGTCGTTTTCCTGTTTCTCAGTTTTCTGGTTCTTTATGAACTTGGAAATTATATTATAAGGGAAATTGGAGATTTGGTTAAATTTAAACTTATCACATTATCTCTCGTTTTAGGTCCCTTATATACGGGGGGCATATTGTCAGAGTAATTCAGTTATCATTAACAAGGACAATATTGATTTGGCTGTGATAATCGATAGATCGACAATGCGACCAAATGCAAACCTCTTTGATTAACTGGTTGAAAGATTGGTTGGTTGATTGATTTATTGATTGATTTATCGGGTTGTTGATTGATTTACATGATTAATTGATAAAATGATTGATATGATTGATTGATTGGTTGGTTTATTTATTGATTGGTCAGTTGATCAAGCAAATGATTTATTGATTTGTTATTTTGATTGATTGATTTATTGATATTTCGGATTGAATTAACTGTACCCAGGTAACACACAAAGGAATTCTCTACTCTACCCTGACTCTCTTCTCCACAGTTATCTTCTTGATCGTTGCCTCTCACATCAACTCCTGGAGACTAGATAGGTTAGTTCTTTTTCTTTTTCTTTTTCTTCTTTTTCTTCTTCTTCTGCTTCTTCTTCTTCTTCTTCTTCTTCTTCTTCTTCTTCTTCTTCTTCTTCTTCTTCTTCTTCTTCTTC